CACACACACACACACAACAATCCCTATTTATTTCTTGCTTCTCTCCCCCCTCTCCCCCCTCTCCCCCTCCACCTGAACCCTAGGGAGCCCAAACAGTGTCCGAGGTAAGCAGCTCGTTGCTCTGCTGGTGTTTGTCTGTAGGCCCGGTTCCTACGCTTCCTTCCCTCCGCAGTGATGTTAAAAAACTCCTCGAGTGCTTCTCAAAGTAGGAAGAATAAGGAAATCTCCATTAATGTTCATCTTACCTCGAATGCAACCTCTCAACCCAAACTGTTTACTGTGTTTAGTTCAAGTTTCCCTTTTTATTTCACTGAAAAACATCAATCTTGTGTTTAGTTAGTTTCTGTTTATTGATTATAATTTACAGTTTAAACCCAGCGGTATTTCTCATTGGCACAACATTTATCAGCTGTTTGAGCTTCCTTGGTAGGAAACAAACTCTCTCAGCATCAGTATTTAATAAAATGAACTTTCTCCGTTAACTTTTATTAATGAACAGACCACGTTGTCAAATGTACAAGAATTTAGTATTAATTAAAAGAAACGTCTCAAGATGCAACAAATAATCAGTATTGTTCAGTTTTGTAAAACGGTTGAGGAAAGTACATTTTCATTTAGATTACGGCTGAAATCGGCTGATAATTAACAGTTTTTTTTGATAAAATAACCCGTAAATGACTGAATCAGATACCCGACAAGTTATTACACTTATCACTTATCCAGAAAACTTTAGTAAAGCCGGTCTTGCTCTAACGGTATAAAACAACCGGTGTTTAAGGGATAAATACCTCAAACATTGGGGCAAAACCTGTAGTGCTGTCATTATTTAAAATGTTGTGCCAATTTTTAAATATCAGGTGCAGTCTAGACACTGTTGGGCTGATGTTCCCCCCCCTCCCAGCGCGTTTCTCCTTATTTTCTCCTCCTAGAAGTCAGAAGTCATCGTCTGTGTCTCCATTTTTAGCTGCTGCTTCTGTCTCCTCACCTGTAGACTGTAGAGCTGCTCTGGCTGTGCTGTGCTCTGGTCTGATTGGTTGGCTCCTGTGTTCCCCCCCAGTTGCTGATTGACCTGTCAGAGTACGTCAATGTAACCTCGCCGGCGGCGCCCGCCTTGGCAGCGACTCCGCGGCAACCACCTAAACCACCTCCAGTCAGTGCTAGAGCCTCTGCAGCAGAGTTAGTTAGCACCCAGAGCGACCAGCTAGACAGACCAGTAAGAACACGTGTAGCACCCTGTCTGCCTGATCACTAACACGGGTGGGAAACTGGACTTCACACTAAAGTGGTTAAAAACGGCCATTTTTTTGGGTCTTTCTATGAATTTTTATTTCCCCCCTTGTGAAATGTTTTGAAATCATTAAGTGAAGATATGAAATAAGGAAGTTGTGGGTTTAAAAAGAAGAGGAAAGCACAGGTGACCAAAGATGTATGTCGTCTTTCAAGCACCCACATTTATCATTTCATGGATTTACTGTAAAACCAGTAAATCATCTGTCACTAACAATTAACGTCACAATCTATGAATGTGTTGTTTTCCTTATTAATAAATTATTTAACCTATTGAAGTTAGAAATCCCTCACAACTTCCGCTTGCTCGAGCAAACATTTTACTTGTTTTGTCTCACCCAATAATACTTTATTTATTGGTTGTGTTGCTTTGAAATGAAGGATGAAAGAACGCTGCTTTTTTTTTTTGTCATTTTCATATATTTAAATTTATTTCCAAGGTCAGAATAAACTTCATGTCTAGAAATGTAAATCACTTGTTAGTTTAACTTAAGTTGGCTCAGAATTATGAATTTAATGTCTTTTTATATGAAAGTTTTTGAGCAGTAATATTAAAAATGTTTCCTCAGATTCCCACATTTTCTATTTTAATCATTCATTGTACAAACAGATGTTGACTCCTGAGTAGGGATGCTCTGATGTCAGTATCAGGTCCGATACTGCACTCGTGTACTCGTAATTGTAATCAGAAAACTACTCGACCTTTGATTTGTTAATCAGTGAAAATAAAACATGTTTAAAAGTCATTGTTGGACTGTAAGAAGATTTCTAAGTGTCTACCATGAGGTCAGTTTCCCATTGAAATCAATTGGCACTACCACTCTTGTCCACATGGGGCGCCATTAATCAACACAAATGAAAGGCTCTTAAATTAAAGTTCTCGTGTCGGTACTCGGTATCGGTGCATCCCTACTTCTGAGCTGGTAAATTGATGACTTGCTCTTCATTTTTCCAGAACCAGCCCGTTGTTGGAGGAGTGAATGTTATTCTCCCACCCTGTTACTGACCTCCACACAAACAGCTGTACAGTAGTTGTTTAGGGTGAATCACAAGACCTAAAACCAGATCCCCCCCCCCCCCCCCC